AAGATTATCTTCTGTGTCTGTGTTAATTGGTTTCCCTTTTCTTTGTTGAAGAGGGTCTGTGCAATCCTTCTGCCTAGTCCGCCATCTTGCCCCGCCTCTGATTTATTATATCCAGGATGCCCTAATTGAGCCCTTTCTGAGTTGTTGACAGTGGTAGCCAGACACCATCTAGCTCTTCTGGTCTCAGGATCATAAAGGCTGAGGTTCTCATAGTCCACTAGTCCCTTGGCTAATTGTTTCCATGTGTCTTTGGTTTTCTTCATTCTTCTCTGCTCTAGACAAGAAGAGACCAACTGTTGCATCTACATGGCCGCTTGTAAGCTTTTAAGCCTCAAGTCACTACTCACCAAAGTAGGATGTAGAACAATGTTGTCGTGTAGTATGTTATGCCAACTAAGCTTGATGTTCCCCATGACTATGGTCCTGATCCCACAGGTCCAACAACTCACTCCATCAGGGTGGTTAACTGTGGCTAAGAAGTTATCATAACTTTGCCTCCTGTTAGTTCTATTTATATGGACATTGTTACAGCTCAGACAAATACGTATGTAGAAATATCATCTGCCAACCTTATATATGGCCATGGGTATATTCCTTTTTGCCTAGACATTCCTGATCGTTCAGCCTGTCCACCCATGTACATAACCATAGATTAACGTTTGTTATCACTGATAACTCAGTATTGTACCTGTGGAAGTATTTACCTTTGCTGTCTGGACCTCTTGTGCACCTCTCTGTGTCTTCCTTTTCTTTAGTGCTATTGCCAACACAGAAGCCTTTAGCACTCAATTAACTGAGATCCCCAAACTATCTGGATTTGGTAGAGTATTATATATACTAGCACATATTTAGCAATCTTATAAATGTTACCTGAATGTGATATGATTATGAGAAGCTACTGAAAACTAACCAGACCCACTGCTATCAAGTCAATTCTGACTCAAAGAGACCTGTGTTGGGTTTCCAAGGCTGTAAATCTTTATGGAAGTAGACTACCTCATCTTCCTCCCATGGAGCAGCCCGTGGGTTTGAACCACCAACCACCAGGTTAGCAGCCAAATGTCTTACCCATTACGCCACCATAAAGAGCTCCTTTATGACAAGCTAGAGAGGGAAAAATACCCAGGAAGGACAAGTTTAGAAAAAAGCAGAGATACACTATTCCTGTCTGGAACTGATGGAAAATGATGATATGCCTGCCTAAAAAGTATTCTATATATTTACAAAACTGCCAAAATACTTATAAACAGTTAATAGCAACTTAACTACCAGGGGAAGGTGGGAGGAAGGACATGAAGAGTTACTGTTTAAGGGGCACTAAGCTTCTGTTAATGATGAAAAATCTGGAAACAGATATGGTGATGGCGGCACAACATGGTGAACATAATTAGTATCACTAGACTGTAAAATGGCTAAAATGGTAAATCCTGTTACGTATGTTACTAAAATAAAAATTGCTTAGAAGAAAATATAGCAAGTGATATAAAAGTTAATAGCAACTTAAGAAGTTCATCTGGCATATAAAGAAAACTTCATTGTGGAAGAATTTGAGAACTTTTTTCTTAAACAATTCAATCTTAACTTCTAGAAGGCCTACCAGCACACAGATATATAAACACACTCATACAAACACAAAATTACTTTGAATTTCTTCAAGTTGAAAGGACAATGCAAGATATAAAGAGTAGAAATGGAGAATAATTCAGACGATAGCTATGCTTTTTGTCTTTATAGAATTGATTCAAAAATCCATTTTGGATACCAATTAAAATAAATTGAAGAGAGTTATCAAACCAGTTGCTGTGTATACACTGCATTTGGATTCTGATTAGAAAAAACTAATTTAAAAAAAATTTTTTTTTTTTTTTAGAAAATCAGGAAAATTTGAACACTGCTTTGATATATGATGATATTAAGAAATTGTATTTCACTGTGTAAGATGTAATACTGATATTGTGATGTTGTTATGTTTGAGATACATACTATACCAAAATATTTATGGATAAAATGATATGATAATGAGGATGTGCTTAAAAATAAGGGAGGAAGGGTCAGGCACAGATTAGCTTAGTCTTAAAGACTGGTTACCAACTGATTTTTATTGAAACTGGGTAATGAGTCAGCAGGTGTTCACTTTACTATTTACTTGATTTTTGTACATGATTAAAATCTGCCATAATAAAAAAAGATATCATTTAATTCATATAACCCCATGAGATATTAATGTACCTGCATCTTATAGATGAAAAATAGAAGTGTGGTTAAATATCTGACATCAAATTCATTAGTTTATCTTCCCTACCCCAAAAAACCCCATTACAATCTCAATAATTTTTGTTTCAGTAGCTTTTTAAAAAAATTTTTTTAAGTACTATTTAAGCTTGTATAGCTAAGGAAATGAGAAAGGACCATACCAGAGAAGTAATGCCAACTAAATTTTAGAAGATGGAAAATGAATGGATGAATGCTAAGTAGTTTGGTTTCACTACTCAGTTAAGTGCCTACAGCAAGTACAAGTGTATGCACAAGTGCACAGGTAAGCAGAAGCCAATAAAAAGCCAGTCATTTTCCACTAAGAAACCGCTAAAAGCCCAGAAATTGGAGGCACCAGGTACCACTGAAAGCAATGGTGGAGGATAGAGCTCAAAATAGGAAGACTGGAGATTCTTCTCTGAAGAAAATGGTTCAAAAGCAAAAACTGACAGATGCTGATCTCTATAAGCTTCTGACCTCATCTCTGATCATCTACCATGAAGCCTAGCAGTTGGAAAACCCCAGCCACAGTCATGGTTTCCAGCCTGTTTTTCAGTGCCTCGCTCAAATGTGAGCAGATAGTCAACGATCAATATTTGAGAAAAGCCTCCAACATGAAATAATGAATTCAAAATGGACAAAGGAAAAGAAAAAATGTAGAGGAAGTAGAGACTTTACAAAGAACTAGAAAAGGAAATAAAATTAGAGAACCAGTTCAGGAGGACCAAAGTTTGACAAACGGATTTCTTAAAAGAGAGAACAGAAAAAAGTATAAAGCATAAAATTACTAAAGACATAATCCAAAAACAATTTTTCTAGATCTGAAAGACATCAGCTTTGAGTATGAGTTCAATGACTGCAAAAAGACTTACATGAAGGTACAACATCCCTTTCAAAGATTTGAAAAAGAGAAGAGTCAAAAAGCTTCTAGAGAGGGAAAGAAAGATTTCACTCTAAAGGTAAAGTGTCAACTCCTCTGTATTATGACTGGTGGTGGATACAAGATTCCATACATCTGTCAAAATCAACACAATTCCTCACTACAAAGAGTGAATTTTACTGTCATATAAATTAAAAAAAAAAAAAAAAAAAAATGCCACCAGGCAACTCAACAACAAATCCTTGAAGCTAGAAAACAATGAAGTAACGTCTTCAAGGTTCAGAGTGAAAATCATTTCCAAACTGAATTCAGTAGCTGGCCAATCAGTCATGAAGAGAGAGGAAAGACATTTTCTGATATGAAAGATCTCAAAAAATTTATTTCCCATGTACCCTTTCTCAAAAAGTTACTAGACAGTGTTCTCCACCAAGCAAGGGAATAAACCAATAAATTAGATAACTTTGACTCAAGGAATCAGAAGATCCAACACAGAACAGAGATAGAGGGAATTCCCAGGATGAAGATAAAGAGAAATGCTAGGGTGACAGCACTGAAACAGCCCTACAGAACAGGTCCACATTGGAATAGGAAGATAGAACGGTTCAGAATGGGCATTTCAAGAGAGGAAAAAAAAAAAAAAAGAAAACTTCTGGCAATGTTTGGCTATACTGACAGACATTTTAGAGTAACATTGAAGGGTTTGGAAATAAACTCCTAATATGCAAATACACAACTGTGTAGTCAAAGTATTTAACCTGTCCTAAAAAGAGGTCTGGACTTTGATCTTGGCTTCTGGGAGGTAATCTCTAAACCCTTGGAATGTCATAATTGATAGGAGTGTCTTTGTTTAGGAAAGGGGCTGGCCACAACAGATTTGTGATTTAGTTGTGGGAGTTTGGGGTCACCTGATGTCAGCTCATACCACTCTACCACTCAAGCTCCAGTGGGGCTAGAGACTGAGGCTAGCCACATGAACTCTAATAAAAATTCTGGAACTAAGACTAAAGTGAGCTTCCCTGGTTGACAATATTCTTGCATATGTGTCAGACATCAATAAGGGAAAGTAATATATTCATGATGCTACAGGAAAGGACAATGGAAGCTCCACATTTGGTACCTTTTCTAGATTCTGCCCTGTGCACTTCTTCCTGTGGTTGATTTTAACCTATATCTTTTCCCTGTAATGCACTGTAACTCTAAGTATAACAGCTTTCAGTGAGTTCCGTGCATCCTTCTAGTGAATCATCAAATCCAAGGGTGGTTTTGAGAATTCCCTCAAACTTGCAATTGGTGTCAGAAGTGAGGGTGGTCTTACACTAGATTGTACTTCCTCAAACTTTGTCATTGGTCTAACTCTCACATCAACTAAGCAAGCTAAAAAACAAAGTAATTATCAACTCCAGGGAAACAAAAAGTTATATAATAAATTAAAAAAAATTATTCACACCTATATTCACTTACCCATTCATTCTTTCTTTCATTCAACAACTATTTATTAAGTACCTATTATGTACCAGGAATGGTTCTAGGTACTGAGGACAGAAATGAACAAAACAGATCAAATTCTCTGTTCTTTTGGAACTTCTAATAGAAGAGAGGCAATAGACAAATACATATAATCTGTTTGGCAGTATTAAGTGTTCTGGAGAAAATTAAAGATGAGTAAAGGAGACAGACACAGGCAGTGAGTGGGGGAGGGGGTGGTACATGAGAGTGATAAGTTGTAATTAACGAAGTGAGGGAGCAAACATGTAAATATCTGAAGCAAGCAGAGAAAGCGCAAAGATCCTGAGGTAAGAATATGCTTACTGTGTTTGAGAAACAGGAAAAAGACTACTGTGACTGAAGCTGATTAAACAAGGAGAGTAGCAAAGGAAGAGTTCAGAGAGGTAAATAAAGCATGAGAGTCTTACAACAATCACCTATAATGTTGTGTGTTTCAGCACTAAACAATTTTATGTAATAATAATAATGCAGTGTAGCAAATTACTTAGCTCTGGTAGCATAGTGGCTAAAGCACTTGACTGCTAACCAGAAGGCTGGCGGTTCAAACCCACCAGCCACTCCTCGGAAGGAAGGTTGGGCAATCCTACTTCCGTAGTGATACTGCCTCGGAAAACCAAGGAGGGGTCGCTATGAGTCAGGGCCGACGCGACGGCACATAACAACAACAACAAGTAAATTACTTAGTGTGGCTTGTAAACTCCAAGGTCGGATTTTCTATGAGCAACTGAGGAGCTCCTGATTGCTGAAGCTATCCACCTGGGTTATTTCTGTTGGGCGTGGCACAATACAATGTTCTGGGTGGTTGCCACTCTCTCTCACGTGCTTAGAGTTCTGATGCTGTGATTGGCTAGTTTGACCATCCTGCCGGGCTCAAAAGGAGGCCTCCTGGAGGCAGAACTCTCTCTGACTGCTGGTGGAGGAAGACGTGCTGCTGAAAGAGACATGGGCTCCTGAGACACATGCTGCTGGGAAAGAGACCCAAGAGACACACATTGCTGAGTGAGACACAGAGGGACCAGCACTGCTGGGAAAGAGACTGTGAGAGACTGTTGGCTGAGGGATGGTGGGCTAGGTGAGAGACTGAGCATTTTTCCTGAACCTGAATTGTAGCCTGTGGTGCTTCCCTAATAAACCCTGTAATCTGTGAGTTCTGTGTGGCCACTGCAGCGAATTATCGAACCCCGGAGAGAGGTGGTAGGTGCTTTGGGAGGAACGGTTGGTGAAAGGGCTGGAGAGAGGCAGCATGTCTGGCCTTGTAGGAATAGGCCTTGGGTTACTGCTGGTAATCCTGTCTTCCTCTTGTGGGATTAGAGGAGGTCAGAATATGTGGCCTCCCTGCCCTTTTAGCAAATAATAATAAAGGAGCTCTGGTAGCATAGTGCCTAAGGCACTTAACTGCTAACCAGCAGGCTGGAGGTTCAAACGCACCAGCCACTCCTCGGAAGGAAGACGGGGCAATCTACTTCCGTAGTGATACTACCTCAGAAACCCAAGGAGGGGTCGCTATGAGTTGGGTCCTACTCGACAGCACATAACAACAACAATAATAATAAATATCAATTTTAACAAAATCATGATGTAACTACATCAGGAATACAGGGAGAAGATAAGGTTTGCGTAGACATCTAAATTCTAATTTACTAATGTAGGAAGAAAGTCAATAGATAATGTCCAAAGTTGAAAAAAAAAAATCAGGAAATAGCAGAAAAATCACCTTATTTAGAAATTTAGAGTTAAAACCCAGAAAAATTTGCTAAAGGAATGGACTTGACCTTGGAAAGCAGAACTCTGGGGTGGGAGAGGTGATTGCTAGTTTTTGTTATGAGCTTTGTGATATAATCTTGCTTTTTATATGCACATGTACTATAGTGATAAAAATAGAAATTAAAAATAAAATTAGCTGCCACAACAAGATCAATCTTCTGAGAACTGTTTACCAAGAATTCTTTAAAAAAGAAATACCACTATATCTCAATTTAACATATTTATTAAAGACACATTATGTGGTTGGCAGCACTTGACTTGGTAACCTTAATAGGAGGTCTTGAGGTCTTTTCTAAAAGAAACAAAAAAACGCCCTTTGCTCAAGGACATCACAAACACAGATGCACCCTTCCACCAGTTCAGTCAGCCCAAAGAGGAGGGCAGTGATGATTGACGTGAGCAAAATTACCTGCTGGCCATCTCAACAGCATCTTTATTGGGTGGGGGGATGAGGAAGCAGACTGATGGCACCATTGCCTCATTTCCTGTGGGGCTGATCACTTTCCATTTGGTCCTCTGTGAATTATCTTCCAACACACACTCATCATTCTTGCAAATAGTGATCTGAAGAGACAAATTTATAAATTATTGATAGTGGATAAACCAATAATCCATTATAAGCTGATACCTTATCCCAAGGATATGATGCTATTATAGAAAAAATCATTCTGAAGATCTGCTATCACTTAGTAAGGATTCCTGATTTTGAAAAAAAAGATAATATGTATAAATACACAATATAGGAAATACTGTGACATCAAATAAATCAAGGAAAAAAGTGTTTATAAAATGCCTATTACTTGTCAGGCAACTTAGTATATGACAGTTATAAGGAGATTATAAGATCCTTAAGACCAAACTCTTTGCACTTACGACTGTTAGGGGAAAAATAACCGGGACATGAATAATCACAACTTTGCTTTTGTGATACTTCTCCTTCCCTCTCTACCATCCCACCCAAATCCCTGAAAAAGTTTCAGCATTTTAGAATCACCAATTATTTCTCTTGGGAGACAAGTAACCAATATAATTATTCCTATTTTATAGATAGAAATACTGAGACACAGAAAAGTGAAGTCCCATTCTTTCTTTTATTCATTCATTCTTTTGTATAACAAATATTTATTGAAGGTCTATAGGAGCTCTGGTGGCATAGTGCCTAAGGCATCTGATTGCTAATCAGAAGGCTGGCAGTTCAAACCCACCAGTCACTCCTCAGAAGGGAGATTGGGCAATCTACTTCTGTAGAAATACCAGCTTGGAAATCCAAGGAGGGGTTACTACGAGTTGAATCGACTGGACAGCAGTGAGTTTCTTTTATTTACTATGTGCCCAGAAGTATCTATGCCACTGGGGATAAAAATGGTATAATGCTAAGCACACAAATATGGTTTATAGTCCACATATTCTAATGAGGTATGTATGTTTTCAATTCCACAAACAACGTTCCTACATTAATAATGCACGCACATATATAATGTGCACAGCATGCATAGGAAACTAGCACATGAGGGGGTTGTGCAGTTCTTCAACGCATGTGTATATACATGCAAATACGTCACATAGTTACAATGTTATTACTGTGTGCCTTCATGTTAATTCTAGCTCATAGTAAACCTGTATGACAGAGTAGAACTGCTCTATAGAGTTTTCTAGGCTGTAATCTTTATGGGAGCACTAGGTCTTTTCTCTTACAGAGCAACTGGCAGGTTCAAACTATCAACCTGTCAGTTAGCAGCTGAGTGCTTAACCACTGCATCATGAGGGCTCTTTGTATAGTTTTCTGTAACACTCTGATAAACGCTATAATATGGCAATTTATCAGGGAACAAGGAAAGGGACACAACCTAGCCTTGGCAGGAGAGGTAAAGTGAGATTACTCAGGATTTTGTAAGCCACATTAAGAAGTTCAGACTTTCTCCCAAGAACAATGGGGAATTGTAGGATTTAAGCAAGGGAATGACTTACGTTTTTTAAAAAAGATAATGCTGATGGCAGGATAACGAATGCATTGAATGAAGAAGCTGGTGCAATGATCCAAGTGAGAAAAACAAATGTAAATGGTCTAAACCCTGGTAGGCACTTGACTGCTAACCAGAAGGCTGGTGGTTCAAACCCACCAGCCACTCCTCAGAAGGAAGATGGGGCAATCTACTTCCGTAGTGATACTGCCTTGGAAACCCAAGGAGGGGTCGCTATGAGTCGGGTCTGACTTGATGGCACATAACAACAACAACAACAAACTGGGGTAGTAGCAGCAGGAATGGAAAGAAGTACATTTAAGTGATATACATAAAATAGTATTGACTTCATGGTCCTACTAGCTTGCTGTATGGGGGTGGAGGGAATAAGAGAAAAGGAAGAGCCAAGGACATCTCCCAGGTGCTACAAATGACCATTTCTTCCAACACTTAAGCAACTGGGTGAATGATGATGCCAATCACTGAGGCAGGGAGTAGGTCAAGATTACAGAGTAAGATTTCAAATAAAAATGATGTAAAGATTTGATCTTTTTTAAAACTCTAAGAAAAATTATCATTTGATCTTTCTTTATTATCATACCCCAACTAAAGGTTTTCCTTCTCCCTTCCTTCTGTCCGGTGCACAGAAGTACCTTTTTTATCTCCTCACCTCAATTTGCCGATAGTCACAGATGGCCTTTACAGAAATGGTGCTCTTTAGCACATGGTCTGGACTGCGAGGCTTTAGCTGAACAATGGCTTTTGATCTCCCAACAAGACTGGCAACAGAACTCTTGGACTGTATAAGCTGCTCCTTTTCATCCTACAAAATGAGAAGATAAACCAAAAGACATTAATATTGCTACTCACGATGACAATGTCAACAAAGAATACTGAGTGCTCCACACCCTCAGAGAAGGTCACTTCTCAGTTAAGCAGGGATCCTTAGTGGAGCCATTTTAGAAGCAGTAAGGATAAGGAAAAAAGAGAATATATTTCTGCCTTCTACCATGTGGTTTTGTACTCAAACTTTGTAGCTTTCTCCCTATGCCCCTTTCAATAAAGCATAAAGTCACATGCAAAAACAAAACAAAAACAAACCACTTTCTAGCTGCCAAATACAACTATATGGTTAACAAAGCATTTCCCCAAATAAGATGCAGAAAATGCAGAAGTTAAAAATACTAATTGCTATTATTTTTATATTGTTGTCATTATTATTATTCAGTTTCTCACTGGTAGAAGCCAGTTCTTGCTTCCTTCTTAGGAGAAACTAGAATAATACTTTTAAAAGCATTTTTTAAATAACTGCATCTCCCAAGATCTACTACAAATATTTCACTTTCTGAAATTGAGTCCAATTTTCTAGAGGAAGATCTTAGTTCTTTAACAAGCAATGTTGTTGGTAAAGGTATCATGATAAGTGATTTGGGTTTACCTTTTAGTATCTTAGAACTTCCCATATTCATGTAAATTTGACTGCTTTCAAAGAAGTATCATGCAAAATGGAAACTCAAGTTTCTACAAACTCAAGTATCTTAAAAACCAATGAACTTCGTGTCAACAAAATTGGTAGCAATCTACTACCAATTCCCTTAGAGAGTAAAGAATAGCCTTTATTAATCAGGATATTTCAAGCCCATTTTGAGGTATAAAGCCCCCACAAGAGGGCTTTCTTAGGATGGAAGTAGATGTGATGAGAGTAAAGAGTTAATAATGTTAAGAAATGTCGTTAAAGAATAAGGATATGCAAGTAAAGAAAAAGAAATGCTTAAATAAACTACCTGTGCCTGTCCCCGGGAGCATGATTGGAAGAAATACAACTTTAACTTATTAGTTAAGAAAGAGGAATGGAATATATCAGGGAGACAGCCACACGCCTCCATACTTGAGAGCTGGTCTACCCATTTCAGTTTCCTTGCATTAAAGATGTCAATTTCTGTCTAAACCACAGTCAAACATCTCAAGCTCCAGAGACCAAGTGCTCAGCGTGGTAAAAGTTCTGAAAAGGATCAGAAGCCAGGAGAGATGCTCCCGAACCTGTCGGACAAGGTGAGGAGCAGACCCAGGTGACTCCATGCCCCGATGACGCCGCCAACCCGATGCCCCTGACCTGGAGAGGAGGGAAGAGAGCAGCAACCCTCGAGAAGAGAAGATATGACAACAATAGCAGAAGAGTTACCCTTGACAGAAAGGTACTCTGTGGGAGGGAGGAGATGACCGTCAAGGATTATCTTCCTCCTTCACACATGTAGTACCTCCAAGAGAGACATTCTAGAGACAACATCTGAAAAGTCATGTTTTTATCCTTTATTCCAAATCAATTAAATTAACAGACTATTGGCTGAGATGAAACACTGAATATAAACCTATTCATAGACTTAAAATATCTCAAAGTATACACACACACACACACACACACACAAAATCAACTGATGTTCACAAATGCCCATATCTTACCTACCAGATACTGTTTTGGATAATCCTACTTCTCTTATTCAGAAATTTATATTGAAATGATCTGGAGGTTCTCTTGGTTTCTTACACAGCAAAAGCAATTTCCCTATTATATACACATTTCTATTTTAAAATGAGATGTAGCTTAAGCCCCGTCTTGCCAATTCTTAGTGTAATATACATTCAATAAATGTAAATAGTCCTACGGCTGATTTTATTATCAGCACTTTTGAACAATAATTCATTGGAGAAAATAAATATAAAATTGATTTGGATTAAATACTGGATGCAAAAGTATTTTCAAAAGTTAATATTGCTGCATAAATAAGCTGGACAAATACTGTTATATCTAAGTAAGATTTTGATATTGTCCTTGATTAAAATAAGTTTTCTTTCTTTTCTGTGTTTTATTTTATTTTTTGAATCAATTTTCTAATACCTCACACCATTGTTGTTAGCTGCCATCAAGTCAATTCTGACTCATGGCACCCCATGTATTATAGAGTAGAACTGTTCCATAGGGTTCTTCTTGGCTGTAATCTTTATGAAAGCATATCACCAGGCCTTTCTTCGTGAGAGATACTAGGTGAGTTTGAATTGCCAATCTTCATTGTTTATTGTTTTAATTCTCTTTTGCATAAGAAAGTAAAAAAAGAATTTGATACTGCTACTCCTTTCAGCCCTGTTTTTCATGTTCTACACCTCATAATTGTCTCTAAATATTTAATTACAATAGAAACAATGCAAAGAAAGTATGATGAACATTAAGTAGGAGATGACTACCCTTTACTTGAGTAACACTCAAAGGAATCTTATTGGCAACTTCTTTAAGGGGAAAAAGGAAAGAAAGGGACAGAACAAAACTGATTAAACTCTATTTGAATGTGAGCCAAACTTTTTAACACTGGCCACTGCCCTGGAGCTTTCAAGGGTATAAACAGCAATAGCTGCTATGGTTTACTCTGTTTCTCAGAAGTAAACATCCCCACTGATGCAACACCTACCATGGAGTCCTGGAGCAGGTCCTCAAGGCGGGATAGGCTGGTGGTATGGTCACAGGAATATTTTCGTTTGATGGAGTCTTGGAGGTTCTTTAAGAATGACTCCAAGTCTCGTGAATCACTGAAGAACTGTGGGAATATAGGGGAGAGATGTACTGTGCACATACATAAGAGACGTTAACTGAGAAAGAAAAATCTTATAGTGCAGAGCTGAGATGATTATACCCCACTGGGTTAGTGACAGTCCATTGCAAAGGTCACAGAAGTTTAAACTGGAGGGCTTAAAATATCATGTCAATAAAATATTAGTGGTGACTACCACCAAAAACCCAAACCCATTGCCACTGAGTTGATTCCAACTCACAGTGACCCTACAGAACAGAACAGAACCGCCTCATAGGGTTTCCAAGACTGTAATCTTTAGGGAATCAAACTGCCACATTTTTCTCCTACATAGTGGTTGGTGGGTTTGAACCATAGACCTTTTGGTTAGCAGCTGAGTGTTTTACCACTGCACCACCAGGGCTCCTTGGTGACTATCATAAACCAAAACCAAACCAAACTCACTGCCTTCAAGTCAGATCTGATAGCTACCTTGGGTTTCCAATGTGGTATCTCTACAAAAGTAGATTGCCCAACCCTTCCTTCTGAGGAGTGGCTGTTGGGTTTGAACCTCCAACCTTCTAGTTAGTAGTCAAATGGCTAGGCACTACACCACTAGAGCTCCTGGTAACTACCATGGAGCCTACTAAATCCAAAAGAATTAATAAATGGGATAGAAGAAAAAAAAAAAAAAATGCTTGTGCACTAGACTATGGCTTGCTCAAGGTACACAGCCACTTTGTGAAGAAGCCTAGGCTAGCTCACTGGATGCTAAGAGACACAGAGGCTAATACTGCTTTCACTCCACCCCAATTGTCAGATATATGAGTGAGGCCATTCAGCCCCAGCCTACCTGCCAGTTGCCTGCAGTCATGAGAAAGCTAGGCAATACAAAAAGAATTATTCATTTGAGCCTGGATCAAATGGCCAACCCACAGAATCATGACCTAATGAAATGACTATTCTTTTAAATAACTAAGTTTTGGGGTGGTATTTTTTTTTTCACAATAAAAGCTAATTGACTCAGATGTGTGCGCGCACACACACACACAGAAACGCACATATACGCATGGAGTCCACCATACCTGAAAGTAAGCAGTATTCTCTTTCACATGCTGCTCCACACACAAGCACAGCTGCTTCATCCACTGTAACTGGGACTGGATAGCAGCACTGTAAGCCTGTAACAAGCAAGCACACAGACAGAGGGCATGAATTTAACAGACCCAATACTATATGCAATGTTCTTTTCTGAGTATGACTCTGCTAATCATAGAGAAGTCACCAGAAGAGACATGGAGATACTTGACTGGCATAGCCCAATATTGCCCATGAAAAAGGGGCCTACTTTTTACCCAACATTCTAATATCTTTGTTAAAAGAGGTTATACAGAAAAGTCCTCTTCCACAAATGATCTGGCTAGCAAAATCCAGGCATTAATAAACCTACCCTAGCCTCCTCAACCAGCTCTGTGGTTAGAAGGGTAAAGGTACCACACCAATAAGAGGAGGGATCTGCATGGATGGTTATTTGAAAGAAAATGGTCTACATCGCTTTGCCACATAAAGTCAGAAGTCAGTGTATCTCCTCCTGCTGTTCTTAGCATTCTCATTAGACTATAAAAAGTGTTTGCAGTCTTTTAGGGGCTTCAGGAACAGTGTGGGATGGAAAGGACCCAAGACAAATGATCCCTGATACTTCCCCCAAGTCTCTCACTGGAACAAAGCCTCTGATTTGAATACTTTTCTAACAGTCACCTCTGAGTACCTGACTCTCACACAGTCTCAAGTTACATACCTCCACAGTCTGCTTGGCTGGGTGGTTCTCAAGGGACAGCAGCTCTGCTGTATCCTGTAGAGACCGAAACACATCCTGCTTCTCCTCTAGTTCCACTGTCAACTCCTGAAAGTTGAATTCAGTTTTATGTAATAAGTGCCGTTCAGAGAGAGGCAGCAATAACAAAAATGCTGTGTTCCCTGCCCTACCTTAAAGTACCCTATAACACAAATTAGTGCCACAGTGAGATATATGAAAAGTACACGACAGATTTCAAAGAAAGAAAATGCTGGAATCATTGGGGAATGATTCACCAAAGACATGGAACCTGAGCTAGAGTTGAATAAAGTGAGAAAACATGGAAAACTGGGGGAAGATAAAGGAGATAATTTGGCTGGAGTAGGCAGCTCATGTCAGCGCCCATCTCACAGTACTGACACACTAAAAGATCTGTATCATTGACTGGCTGGCTTTGCTCAGACTTTCCTCAGTCTGCAATGTTGCTCTCTAACTCTAAATTCTATAGGACCCGATTTAAAAGTCAACTCTTCTGTGAAGCTAGTACTGATCCTTACAATCAGATTTGATCCCTCTGTCCTTGATACTTTTCGAGCACATCTTGTATATCTCTGTTATAAAGCATATTTCAGTCCTCCTATTATCCATTCCTTCTCCTTTGCTTAAAAAACAAACAAACAAAAAATCATATACCAAAAAAAAAAGAGCTTGTATTTCTTAAGAACTCAATGGAATTGGCCCACAAGTATCTAAAGTGTTAGTGAAAATATTGCCTATTTGCATAGTATTTGTTAGTTGCCATTAAGTAGAACCACCCCATAGTTTTGAAGGCTGTGTTCACAAAAATCCTTAAAAACTCTCTGAGACACAAAAATGCTAACATTAACATAAAATAACCCCTACCTACTTGTAAGTCTTTCACCGAAAAGTATAAAAAGCATTGTGCCACAGTAGAATGAAGAAGTTGTCTTCTCATTTTACAGATAAAAAAAAAATGAAGGCCAAAACTTATTAAATGAATTAACCAGAATTCAGAATTTGTGGCAAACCAAGAATATACTCTAGTTACACAATGCTATTAATAATAATAATAATAGCAACATTAATAACTATCATCATCACAGAGCTATTACCAACTTTGTCCTCATCATACAGCCATTACTAACTTTGTCCTATGTATCAAGCCCTGTACTGTTTCGCCTATATTAGCTTATGAAATCTTACTCAGATCTTTATAACAACCCTTCATAGGACTTCAGGTAGTCCTATGATTCCATTTTATAGAGGTCCAGTGATATTAAATGACTTGCTGAAGGTCACAGACCTAGTTGATAGAGAAATAGGATTTGAACTTAGTTATCTCTCACTTCAAACTCTATAATCTTAGCTGAAAATCTGTATTACTTTCAAAATGACAACTCGCAGAATGCTCTTTCATTCACTCAAAGCACTGGCTAAATGCCTTCTGAATAAATTAATTCCAGGGCTCTACTGTCCCTCCTCCCACATAACCTGTCACATGCAAACGAGGCATCAAGTAGGGTCCCCTTGTCTATCTAGCAGAATATAACTACCGAAGCCCAAGCTCTCAGCAGACTAACCCCTCTGTCTCCTTCTGCCATTACATAAACATGACACAGACTTGCTGTGCTAGACTCACGGAGAAGTAATTTTTCTTGGCTGACATATTGGGATTGTTGTCACTCCAGTCATATGCTAGTTCCTCTTCCTCCTTCTCATTCAACCAGATCAACTCAGCTGTAGCTCTGGAGACAAATTTATGCAGGCTCTGAAGGTGCCTCATCCGGAAGCTAGAAGTTTCCTAGATAAACCAAGGATTACAAAGTTGTACTGGATCTGCATGCATCCATGCACCTAAAGAAGATAGCACATTTGACATCAAAGCAAAGAATAACTGAGGAAATGAATTGAGCCTTGCTATTCTATCCCTGGGTACTACTCCAATGAGTCAAGTTTCGTACAAAGCATGAGACTTGCATAGAGGTCTCCTAGAGCCATCTTCAATCCTAGCTACAAGCGAGAACTCACCAGGCCTTTGTGGGGCTCTGTGAAGTAAAAAGAATCCCAGGCCTGTCCTATTCCATACAATCTTGGTAGACAGGAAGGAAGAACAGATAGAAGAGAGAGTTATCCCTCCACCAACCTCAAACTTTCTCTTTGGTGAAACATGATTACTAAGAAGGATGCTACTTACTTAAAATTTTCTGGAACAGAGGTTTCTGACCCATTAATAAAATTTAGGAATGTTATAATATTTATGAACAACTGCATAGTCAGTGATATAACACAGTAAACAGAAAAACAAAAGAGGCCTAATGATGAGCTTTATTAATTGGGAGAGAGGGGCTGTTAGAGGGAAACAAATTCTCCATGGGAAAAACATAAGAGTCAGTCAAAACTCTCACCTTCAATTTACAATACTGTGTTTCCAGCTTCCCAAGAGTTTCAACATAGCTGGTATAGAAATTCTGAGACATTTTCCTCTGATAAGAAAGAAATGAAATAAAAATACATTAGAGAAAAAGTAACTAAAATATATCTGTTATGGCTTCAACTATGTAAATATTATGTCGGCACATAGACAAATGATAGAAACTGAGACAACAAATCCCTGGGTCAGGTTTACAGATACCATTAGGACAGAATGGAGTAGCACTAAGTGGGCAACAGTCCAGCAGGGTGAATACAATGTGTAAGCCTTCACTGTCTTGTGCTTCCAGCATGTCTGAGAAGTTTCTAGACAAAACCTATACCTAATGACCCCCAAACCACTTAGTTGCTTTTTGGAAGGAAAGAATTGAAATAGAAAATGGGAAGATAGAATGAGTGAGGCAGAGGAATGACTGAGTGAATTAAGTTTTTCTGTATCAGCTCTCTACTGCAGGCAAAGGGTGAAATGGAAAAATCATCAATATTTTGAGGCATCAGGTCTAAGTTTGGAAGCACACTAATTTTGACCTTAGAGTTCAGTATTATTTTTTAGTAAATGAGTTAATGAAAATACCATCCTTACAAGTTATTTCCAAGATTAAAATAGACATGTCAGCACAATATCACTAAGAAAAAGGAAGACAGGGAAAGGTGCACACAAGGTATAGACAATAAAGGAAAATACTATTCTATACACAATACTGTACTATCAGTAATAACAAACACAAATTTATAGGGGGATACATAAGTAGACAGGTAAGAAGATCAAGTATGGGTAGGTAAATGGGAATATACCCACAACCATACATACGTTGAGAACGTAGTGCCTAAGGCATTTGATTACTAACCAGAAGGCTGGCGGTTCAAATCCACCAGCCATTCCTTGGAAGAAAGGTTGGGCAATCTACTTCCATAGTGATACTGCCTTGGAAACCCAAGGAGGTGTTGCTATGAGTCGGATCCGACTCGATAGCAATAGGTTTTATAGGGATACGTAGGTTGGGCAGATTAAATTCCTACATGCATATTTATATGTGCTATAAAAATGTCCAGCTCTGGTAGCATAGTGCCTAAGGCACTTGACTGCTAATCAGAAGGTTGGCGGTTCAAACCCACCAGCCACTCCTCGGAAGGAAGGTTGGGCAATCTACTTCCATAGTGCTACTGCCTCAGAAACCCAAGGAGGGGTTCCCTATGAGTCGGGTCCAACTCAACGGCACATAACAACAAGAACAACATAAAAATGTCCATAAGCAGTAAACAACTAACAGGGTACAAAGTTAGGATAACTTCTTGGCCACAACTAAACACCTTGAGGGAGTGAGTCACTGGGCCTGTGGGCTCTGGACCATGGTCCCAGGGGATATCAAGCTCAATTGGCACAACATACTACACGGAAACACTGCTCTACATCCTACTTTGGTAAGTACTGACTAGGAATCTTAAAAGCTCGCAGCAGCTTGCTTGTCCAGAGCAGAGAAGAGTGAAGAATATCAAAGATGCATGGAAACAAAAAGACTAATCAATCATGAGCAGTTCAGCCTGCATGACCCTGAGACCAGAAGAACTAGATGATGCCCAGCTACCACTGCCAACCACTTGGAAAGGGGTCATAATTGGACATCCTGGACAGAGTGGGAGAAAACTGTGGAACAGAATTTAAAAAAACATAAAAAGGATAAGGATTACTGGTCAGATAGAGATTGGTAAAACAGGATCCTGAGACTTTGGCCCCTAGTCACCCTTCAGGCCTGGAACTGGACCCACTCTCATGGTTAACTTTTAACCAAAAGATACACAGGTCTATTAGCTGAGAAGCTGGATTATATGAAGAAGAACATGGCATCAGGATTGGAGGAAGACACATTAACAATCTGATATGTAGATGACACAACTTTGTTTGCTGAAAGTGAAGATGACTTGAAGCACTTACTGATAAAGATTGAAGACTACCAGTCTGCAGTATGGATTATACCTCAACATAAAGAAAATAAAAATCTTCACAACTGGACCAATTAAACAGCATTACAATAAATGGAGAAAAGACTGAAGTTGTCAAAGACTTCAAATTACTTGGTTCTACAATCAACACCAATGGAAGCAGTAGTCAAGACATCAGATGACATATTCCACTGGGAAAATATGCTACAAAAGACTTCTATAAAGTGTTGAAAAGCAAAGATGTGTCCTTGAAGACTAAGGTGCACTTAACCCAAGCCACGGTATTTTCAATAGCCTCTTACATGCATGTGAGAGCTGGACAATGAAAAAGGAAGACTGAAGAAGAGTTGATGCTTTTGAGTTGTGATGCTGGCAAAGAATACTGAGAGTACCATGGACTGCTAAAAGAACTGACAAACCTGTTCTGGAAGAAGTGCAGCTGGAATGCTTGTTGGAAGCAAGAATGGCCAAACTTCATCACACCTACTTTGGCCATGTTGTCAGAAGGAACCATTCCCTGGAGAAGGATATTATGCTTGGTAAAGTGGAGGGTCAATGAAAAAGGGGAAGGCCCTCAACAAGATGGATTGACACAGTGGCCGCAATGATGGGCTCAGGTATAGCAGGGATCATGAGGTTGGCATAGGACCGGGCAGTTCTGTTGTAAATAGGGTTGCCATGAGTCAGAGACAACTCAACAGCACGAACAACAATTAGCTGAACAACTACACCAGGGAGATGTACTCCTTAGAGCAATCAACCATGGGAGATCAGAAGGGCAGCATTTGCACAGGGAGAAAGCTAGGGAGGCAGGAATGCATAGGCAAAAAGGACACAGGGAAAAGGTAACCACAGGGAGGAAGTGGGAAGAGAGCTATTACATTGTGGGATTGTAATCAGTGTCACTAAACAAAATGTGTATGAACTATTGAATGTAAAAACTAACCTGCTTTGTAAAATTTCACCCAAATCATAATAAAAAGTTTTTAAAAAAAAAGGCACTTTATGTGAAAATGGAATATGTTACTGTATGTGATATAATATATATGTTTGTGTTCTTTTCAGAGTCCCCTTCTCCTTAGGGACACAGCTGCATTGTGCATGCTCCTATGTGGGTTCTGAATGCCACTCACCTCATACAATCTGGCCTCTTTGACACTTGAGCCCAGTTCTTCTACACTGGTATGGATGTGCTGCTGTGTTTCCAGCTGCAACTCCACACTAGGCAAGTCATTACCCCATTCTGCTCGCTCCAGTTTCATCTGAAAAAGAAAAATTAAACATGATGCTAAGTTGGCAAGTCAAGAAAATTGTCAGAATCAATGTTTAGGCAAGCGGTTTTAGGGCAGAAAATTGGGCAAAAGGTCATCTAAACCTTCTCCATCATTCTATGACCTCATATATGCCATAATCACCCCTAAGAAGCAGCAGAGGGTCTCCTTGCTGCTGCATTATGCGACTACATCCCTGAATTTATTATCTAAGAAGAGATCTTCAAGGCTGAAAATATGCATTGCCCTTTATGGAGTCTTTATTCCACTGTACAGTCAAACAGATAAAGAGAGAAGTTGCTTCAACTACCTCACTTCATACATGGCATCAACTACTGAGCAATTGAAGATGATTTTTAAACGGTTTGCCTGTCTTTCTACATTTTTATTTATTGGTGCATGGAGAATCCATTGCCTGGGGATGGGAAGAATTTAATAAAAAGCAATAGGGTTAGAAAGTCAACAAACAAAACATCAAACTTGAGCCATTATCCTAGAATATGTATGACTAGTGTGTCTTGGAGTTGTGAAACACAGCAGCCTTGCTTAAGAGTTAAGATCTTTTTTTTTTTTTTAAAGTGAAAATAAGCACATTTGCCAATAAAGAAATTTCCGAAAAGATAACTGAATTATAGACAGCAATTTTTCTACAAGCTCCCACTTAGGCACAGTCAGATAAAGGGAACAGATTACCAAAGGGCTTCAAATTAAAAACCCTATGCCATATTGTGTGGGATTTTGAAAATCTGAGCTGATCTTATGCATTTAAGATATAAGAAGAAGGGGACTTAGGTACCAGGAAGCATCAATAATTAAGAGAATCTACACAAAGGGCACAGAGCAAGCTGACCCTTTCTGAAAACTGCATAAGCATTTAGATATATACCCACCTGCATCTCCTCCACCCAAGACAGTAGTTCATACACAAATCGGAGATTGCCTTCATCCTCAGAGGAGGAGATAGACACAAGTTCAGCCCGAGTCATGGGTTTTCGGAACCAGGAGGAAGAAGAATGGGTTCCCTTTGTCAAAGCTTCTGCCTTCAGATGAGTAGTGGTTAAAGCAGAGGGTGGAACTAATTCAAGTGTAGTGAAATGACCCTTCCGGTACAGATTTGTGCACTCTAGACGCAAGGTGACCAATTCATCCTGCAAACGCATAACCCTGAAAGGAAAACAGAAAGAAAGAAAGGACTTAAATTTTTAGCATACTTTTAAAAATAAAATCTTCCCTATTCATTTTATAAGGATGTTTTTTGTTGTTGTTGTTGTTGTTGTTGTTTGTTTGTTTTAAAGAGAGATCATATTAGAAAAAGTGTTTTGAAAAAGAAAAAAGTGTTACATGAATGCAAGGCAGTATTATTAACATCTTTATCTAGTTCAGAGTTAGTTGTCTTTGAGGCAAATGCCAAGTTACAGTGTTAAATGGAAGGAAGCAAATCAATGCCTATTTATGTAAGTCCTAGATGGCATAACAGAATAAATAATGGAATAGCGGTCAAGAGATGTGGACCCTAGTCAGGGTTAGATTAAGGCATGTGAAGGCCTAAGCATTGATAATCTGTAGTGCCTCTTCCTCTGCTTACTCACACATTCAAAAGGGATATATGGGTTTATATATATGTTGTTGTTGTTGCTATGTGCCGTCGAGTCGGACCCAACTCATAGTGACCCCTTTTGGGTTTCTAAGGCATTATCACTACGGGAGTAGACTGCCCAACCTTCCTTCCTTAGGCACTATGCTACTACAGCTCCTATACACACACACACATTATCAACTCAATGGCAGAGTATGGTTTATACATAGAGAGAGGGAGAAGAGAAGAGAAGAGAAGAGAAGAGAAGAGAAGAGAAGAGAAGAGAAGAGAGAGAGGATTTCGACTCATAGCAACCCCCTTTGGGTTTCCGAAGCTGTAAATCTTTTTTTTTATTATTTTTATTGTGATTTGGGTGAAAGTTTACAGAGCAAATTCACTTTCCATACAGCAATTCACATATACTTTGTCTTATGACATTGACTTCAATTTCCCACAATGCAATAGCTCCCCTTCCACTTCCTTCCCATAGTTTCCTCTTCCCTGTTATCCTTCCCTCCCATGCACGCCTAGTCTCCCTGTGCATAAACAGCCCTTCTATTCTCCCATGATTGATCTCTCCAAGGAGTATATCTACCTAATGTAAATGTTCAGCTAATATGCCTGTCATTTGTTTGCATGGGAGCTCTGGTGGCAGAGTGCCTAAGGCATTTGACTGCTAACCAGAAGTCTGGCAGTTCAAACCCACCAGCCACTCCTCGGAAGGAAGGTTGGGCAATCATTTCTGATGGTGGTACTGCCTCAGAAACCCAAGGAGGGGTCACTATGAGTCGGATCCAACTTGACAGTAGTCAGTTTGGTTTTTGTTTGTTTGGTTGGCTGGTTGGTTGGAAGCCAGGGGAATGGGTTCAGTTCCAGAACTAAAAGGCAGCTAGGAGCCATAGTCTCAGTGGTTCCATCAAACCAGCAAACCTGGTCCCCGCCCCCCGCCTTTTTTAAATGATTTTGAATTTTGATCCACATTGTTCTCCCACTCTATCCAGGATCCCTACATAGATCCCCCTCTGAATGGTTGACAGTGGTAGCCGAGCACCATCTAGTTCTGGTCTCATAGTCATACAGGCTAAGGCTCGCTTGGTTTACCAGTCGCTTGGACTAATTATTTGCATGAGTCTTTGGTTTTCTTCATTCTTCTTCTAAGGCAGTAAATCTT